AAAGGAGAAGATTAGCCCGTATAATATACCCCTCCATGATTATTAGTAGAATTATGTACCGAATTTACTTATTTCGTAGATATAGATGAATGTTCTTCCGACCCTTGCAAGAACGGTGGCACCTGTGAGGATCTTGTCAATGGATATGAATGTACATGTGTTGCCGGATATGACGGAACTACATGTGATAATAGTAAGAAATACTTTCAGTGTTTTTAAGAAATTAAATAATACACTGAATTTCAATTGATTATTTGCAATTTTGCGGAAATCGATGATTAATATTATTATTAAAAGATGATTAACGGCGTATGTACGCCTTTTATTTAATACTTGCTTACGCCGTTGGTATCTTAAAGAAGTGATTGTTCGTTAATTTGTAAATGAATTTATAATGATTTCTAAAATATGTATGTCAAAATAAAACTTTTACTATAAGATTCTATATGATTTAAAAACGAAATGTGTTCACAGATATCGATGAATGTTTAAACAATCCATGCAAAAATGGAGCTACATGTACGGATCTTGTTAATAGATATGAATGTGAATGTGTGCCGGGTTACGACGGAAATGAGTGTAATAATGGTGAGAATGTATTTCTGATTATTATTAGACTTATGAGTAATATCGGTATTCGATTAAATTGGCGTAAACAATTTAATATCTGATCCTGTTTCATTCATAGAATTTAACGATTATCAATTTTTTCATCTTCGTTTGTAGATTTCTTGAACCTTAATATATTTGATTATATATAAATAGATAGAGATTACTATTATCTGTAAGATATCAATGACTGCTCTTTTCGTTGTTACAGGAATAGTAGGACTAATAAATACGTACTTAAAAGATTGTTTAATCATTTTTATCATAAATTAAAAAGCAAGCTTATCAAGCTTATTATCACTCTTAAATATTTGTCTCTACTTTCAAATAACATTGTCATACATTAATTGCAATTATGTAAAGATTTTACGATTCTGAAATACTAAATATTTAATCTTTTGCATCATATGACGAATCTTCCCATGTCATTGGCAGATATCAACGAATGCTCAACCGATCCATGTCAAAATGGTGGTACCTGTAAGGATCTAGTTAATGCATATGAATGTGAATGTGTTGCTGGATACGATGGCAAAAATTGCGATAATGGTAAGAATGAAGTATGAACAAATGCTGAGCAAGTTATAAGAAAAGAGAAATGGCATTACAACATTTCATAAATCAATAAGCAAAAACAGCAATTTCGATTTTTTAATGTCTGTCCAATCATGTGGCAACAATTTTGCATATGGGTGACATTGCTTTGGAGGTATTATCTCTTTACGGAACTGATTTAAGCATTTTAATCAATTTTAGATTCGGTGAAAAGGCTACATAATTCCATAACTTCTCTAGGTATATTTTCTCGTTCTAACAACATAATCATCTTGTGGTTCGATCCGTTTAGGTAAATTAGAAAAGCTCATTTCGGATCTGCGCTACCGTACATAAGTTCAAACTAAGATTTCGGTATAAAATATACGGTTTAGTAACCATGTATTTACAAAATAGGTTACAAATGCACTTTTTCTCGAAACACGTGGATTTACTCAAGCGCATGCTTGTGTCTTGGGGGAAACCTGATATCTTGCTCCGTCAGTAAACTGAAAAGTTGCATATAAGCTATGTTTTTCTTACTTCATTCTAGAAATAATCTATTTTCTAGTTTCATTACAATACATTTTGTGTGAAATTGTGAATACTGTTTAAGCTAGTGGTGGGTGCGTATGAGATTTTTAAAATACCAAAATACCCCAAATCTCTCAGCACGTTTCATAATTTCCCTACCTTATATCTTGAGACTGAACTATAGCGATTAAGGAAGAGAATCTTATTTTCCTTTACCTTTTATATTGCTCAACAGAAATAAACGAGAGTTATAATAAAACTAATTATTCATATATTAAACTAACTGGTATTTGAAAAGTAAGACCGATGTCCTTCTGAACTTGTTCCACAATTTGTCAATTTGACAGATACAAAAAGTAAATTTTATCATATTTTTCACAGATATAGATGAATGTTCGAGCCACCCATGCAATAATGGTGCTACATGTACTGATCTTGTCAATAGTTACAAATGCACATGTGTGTCTGGATACGATGGGGCGGACTGTGATAATGGTGAGAAATGAAATATAACAAACCCAGGTTTAGAGAGATCATGTTTATACTGTATATAGCTATAAACAGCGGCAAAAGATCCCGATCACGATTTATTCATAATTCAATTGGCCTTAACGAGCTATGTTCTATTTTAATTAAATAAAATGATTTAAGTAGGTAAGTTTAATTATTTTTTGAAATACTGATGTGATATGCGCGGGATAAAATGTTATCACCATCACCGTGGCCACGGAGATCTTTCAATGAAAACAAGTTAAAATACCTGTTTAAATATATTATTGTTTATTCAAATTCGGCTTGTCATGAATGTAATCAGTGGTTCGATACAATTGAATAAGTTTTCTGCTCATCAGGAAGATGTATAGATCAGTTTCTTACAATGAAATGGAGATTATGAGTTGAGCGGACTCAAACGTGGAGTTTTATAGACACTTACTTCAAATCATGACGTTTTATTCTAAAATAGAAATAAAATGAAGTAAAAAAAGTAATGCATTCTTTGATTAATCATGTTTCCCAATAGATATTAATGACTGCGCTCCTGACCCTTGCAAGAACGGTGGTACCTGTAAGGATCTTGTAAACAAATACGAATGTACATGTGCTGCTGGATACGATGGAATTGTGACAATGGTAAGATTCAGAATAAAGACAAATACGTCTTTTTCATAGTATGATTGATGGTTGAGTTTAATATTGGATAAATACGCATTGACCTGAAATCAAGCATTACTAATGTTCCTTATTTCTGTTAAACAAAAACGTACGATATTAACAGTATAGACATGTACATAGTATATCAAGTATTGCATTTTCTTGCAATCTTTAACATACAAAAGTTTTTTATTTAAGTGGACAATTTTTATTACTTGCAAAACTGATCATTTATCACCTATTTTACATCCCTTCCTTCCGATTTTACAAAATTCGGTCTTCGTTTGGTACCGTTTAGATATAAATAAATGTTTCAGCGACCCTTGTAAAAACGGTGCTTGTTGTAAGAATCTTGTAAATGGATACGAATGCACATGTGCGTCTGGATATGATGGAGCAAACTGCTATACTAGTAGTAATAATAATAACGCGTAACGCAACTTCAGTTCAGAGAGTTTCATTAGAAGAAAATAACATGATTATCTGATGTTAATGCATTGTTTATACTTTTATCAAAACAGGTATGTCACTTTTGTTTGAAAAGTATGTCATTCTTTACTTTTTCACTTTTTTGCAAATAAATTAAAATACAAGTTTCTAAACACAAACACATTATGCTTCAGATATAAATGAATGTTCAAGCAATCCCATGCATGAATGGCGCTACCTGTTATGATCCTTGTCCAAATGAAATATAAAATGTACATGTGTGTAGGATACGATGGCAATAATTGTGAAAAATGGTGAGGAATAAAACATTCGCTGGGCAACAGATGTCCTTATTTTTTTTAAGCAATAAAACGACAATTTTTATTATTTTACAGATTATATTTTACTTAATAAATTATTTAATACACTTTGCCTAAAAAAATATTTATGCCTAAATTTGATATTTTGAAAAAACAAACTGATATTACTGTCAGTCCCCTTTTGGAAGGTAAGATGAACATCTTTTGAATACACACATAGACATATGTTAGCGTTTTAACTAACCTACTGCAGGTATCACAGTATCATGTATGATTACATAGTAAATGATTAAAGCACTGGCAGTGTTTATCAGAATAAAACTAAATTAAATTTTTGACAAGTAATAGGGAATTCCAGCTTCCCTCAAAAATTTGTTTATTATATATCTAATATAATTAGATATATTCAGAAAGGAAGTAACGTAGATTTTAATAAATTTCTGAATAAAATAGCTTACTCAAAAAATGAAGCATAGTATAAATCTTTAATGTTTATAGAAAAGGTATACAAAGAACATGCTTTTAACCTTTGTGACATTGTTTTAGCATTTATTAATTGTAAGATATCAAAATGATTGATTGTTCTTCTGACCCTTGCAAGAATGAAGGTACCTGTAAGGTTTTGTAAACAGGTATGAATGTTTTGTGCTGCTTGGGTATGACGGATCAATTGTGATAATGGCAAGTATTTTTTTTATTCAGATATAAGGTATAACAATTTTAAAAAGATATATTATCTTTTTTTTTAGAAAAATGCTTTGTTTAAGAAATATATTGAAAATCTTGTAAATTATTCCAGAATAATGTCTAATTTAAATAAGCAAAAAGTATAAACTATGTTTGACAAGCTTCATTCCTTATGACTTGTAATATTGATTTGAATATTTCTATACTTGTATCATAGTTTGGGGCATACTGTTGAAATTATGTCAGAGTTAAAGTTGTTATAAATATGACATGCACAGTGCGTTATTTGGAGTGCAGGTATAAGTAAAGACCGCACGTCCAGAACATGTCAATTGATCTGACTAAATTTTGCTGGGGTTTACTTATTGTGATGGCAGAGAAGGGGAAAGCGATAGAATACTCATAAATCAGCATGCTCGATTTATAAGTTTACTTTTTTTGGGGGGTTTCTTATTGTGACAAGAGGTAACGTTTTTTTATAGAAAGAACATCAAAACACTCGGCAATTCTGTAACGCTTCCCTCGACCCAAATCAATAGACATCGTGGTTTTGATGCTCTTTTTATAACAAAGCAAGTTTCTATCGATTAGATTGTATTAATGCATAATGTGGATTACCTGTGTGTGTATATCAAATTTTGTGAGGCATAATTTCTTAAGAGCGTTTTAGATTATTTTAATTATATGTTTTCTATAAAAAATTATTTAAGAAAAAAATTAATCAAACAAATGTTATGGCACATTTGATATCACTCGTGGATTGGATTGAAATGCGTGTACGTGTAATTTTTGTAAATGAGTGAAAAATTGAGACCCGGTATATATAATTTCAATACAAATAAATGTTGTATGGATCTTTTTTAATTAATTGTAGCAGATATCAACGATGTGCATAAATCCGTGTGCAATGGTGGAAGATGTGTAAAGATCTAATATGGATATGTAAATTGTATAATGTGATCAGGATATGGAGGATCCATTGTGAAAACGTGAGTTTTGTTCATAATTTCTTATTACACGTTGATATATGGACAATAATTAAGTATTTTAACTATATGTTTATGTTTTGTCCATAATCTTTAATGTATGCATACTGAATGTGCTATTGTTATTCAGGTAAGTCGCGGAAAAGAAGAATGTGAATTTGAACGCTTGGTCTTTGTTTAATTATTTCTATGATGCATGTTTTGAATTTGGTATTATTATAATGATTTGACTTGTATGTTGTGAAATTTAGGAAGGTGTTAACTAAGAAGAAAGATGAATTTCTTTTATTATTTCAAACAGATGTAGAGAGGTTACCAATCCATGCAGAGAACGGGGGATAATGTAAAGATTTTTCAATGGATATGAATGTTGTGTCGTTGGATATGATGGAAGTGACTGTGGCCCATGGTGAGATGGAGCGTAAATTGTGTTAAGTTGTGTTCTATATCGTTCTTTTAGTATATTTACTTCGGAGATTATGTAAGAATTGTATCTGAATGACAGTCATGGACGAATGTGGTTGTAGTTACATCTTATGTAAAAGCTGGATGATTCTCAATTTTTTTGTACTGCTGCATGTCATTTGATTATTGTAGACAAATCTCGATGATAAGGTTACTTTTTTCGCATTCATATAGTGTTTATTTTCAAAGTATATAGAATGAAGTCAAAAATAAGTTTGTGAAATTACATTACAAGGTTTTAATTAGCAGAACGATGTAACATGTTTTTGTTCTGTTTTTAACTTTTTACATTGCTTTGTAAAGTGCTTGAAAAGGTTTAGACTTATGAACTTGGTAGTTTCGGTTTCTTATTGAATATTGTATTTTACTCTACAGGATTATTGAAGCTGCTTTTTAATTTGTCTATTTGACGTCTAATTGTGATATGATCAGGCTTCATACTCTGAGTTCCTTTCAAATTCCATTCTGCTTAGTTCCGCCTAAAGCTTTCTTTACTTTATTAATACCATACGCGCTTCTAAGGAGCGAAAGTGGTTGCTTGAATGGTTCCATGTTAACAGCTGCGGATGTGTTTTCTAAATCAAAATTTGCCCATTTTCAGGTCTTAATGTTGAATTCTGCTTAAGCAATGCGAAGGGGCGTGGACGGTATATCTATAAGATTTGCACGACTGTTATAAGTAATAGAAAGTAAAGCTTTAAGTCTATGTTTCATATACTGGCTTTACAGTTTTCGTTTCGATACCCAGGCGAGTCAGCATTCACTTAATGCACTTCTGGGTTAAGAAATAATCCCTGCTATTTACCTGAGGTGTAATAGTTAAGGCATAAGTTAATTATTTGTTTGCTCACGAGGAAATTAGCAATGTCTTGATAGATTTGAACGCCGGTGATGATTTGACCTGTATGCGATTTCCATAAGATATACATAATAGGATTAATTTGTAAGATGGAAAACACATGTAATGTATGTGCTTTTAGATAGCATCTTTTGTACATTGTTAAGAGTTGCTAAGACTTAATTTGTCCTAACCAGCTGTGGGTTTTTTCGTTAGGGATTTTACTTTGACTTATTTTATTTGGGAAGTTTTTTCACTTAACCCGAAAATGAATTGATGCATCGCAGGGTACAATGAATAAAATGCCTACGACCTTAAGCGAGTATCACGGTCACTTTAAAATCATTAGACGAAGCGATATATTTAGAAATGTCGAATTAAGGAAAACAGTCAAGGAATACCTTCGTACCATTAGAATTATTATCAAATAATGTTATATAATTTCTAGAATATTAACGAATGTCACAAACTATGTAACAATAACGAGATGTAGGGAGGGATCAACATAGTTAATGCAGCTTGCTTGCTGGTTTGTAAGGAACAGAAGTGAAATAAGTAGCTTAATTTCCACCAGTAATTTGTTTAGTATGATCGGTTTCACACAGTGATACAGAAAAATGTCATTCCAATTTTAATAGTGTTTTGTCAATAGTGTCATGAGCTTTTTGACTATGTAAGAACATCAAAAATGTATGCCATTAGTTCATATGACTTGTAAAACATATCGTGCTTTGTTTCACAAAGACAAAAAGAATCTATAGTCGTAAACATTAAACGAAATTTTGTCTTTGCTGTATTTCCTTCTTATGAAGTATTAACGAGAAGAATCTTGATTTGTAGTTGGATGTAAGATATATTTAGAAAATAATTGAATGTTATTTTGAAAATATTTTTAAAACACTTTAAGTATATAATTCGATTAATACAATTGGCATGTTAATGATGGTAGCTGTCAAGATGCGTTGTAAACCGGATACACGTGTAGGCATGTGTGGCTGGTTCTTTGGTGTTAATTGCTCAACAAGCAGGTAGCGTGTGGTTTTTTTCAGTGTTTCAAATAAGGAAACAATAGTGCATTTTTTATTCTGAATATGAATTGCTATTTTGTCTTTAGTTAAGTTTAACAATGTTGTATTATAATATACTCTTTATAGTCGTCGCGGACAAGTAATTGTTAATCTGCAATAATTAAATGAAGCAAGTCACCATATAAAAGCTGAGAGCCGATTTCCGTTAACTGAATTATCGCAAGAACCACATGGTATTTTTCAATATGAAGGTTTGTTTTACTGTGTTTTTATGGCTCGTCACTATTTCATAAATGCTTTACATATCAGTATGGCAAGGCATAGTCAGCTGATTCCTAAAGGATATGCTATATAGTCAAAATATATTAATCATGCAATCATATATAAGAGTTCCACCAAGAAATTTTTTTTTTTTGTTTTTTTTTTTGCAAATTGTCGCAAATTAGGGGCAGGTTTAAATATCTCTTAAATACAAAATTAATTTTAATGTAATAATATCTAAAAAAAAAAATCTGGCTATTATTCATTGGAATAATTTTATAGTATTTGACAGATATCAATGAATGTCTGAAGTAACGCGTGGCGAGAATAAAGGACGTGTGATGGCGGATATAAGTAAATGGAGAGGATAAATGCCATTGTATTGATATGGATTTTGAGGGTATAGATAACTGTGAAATAGGTGGGATTTTTCTTTCTATGTAAGACATTAAGTGGTATTGTTATGACATGCTTTGAAAGATGTGTCTATGTTCTGAAGGGAATGAAGATCTATAAATGAAAAAAAGATTAAACTGGGAAATGAAGTGCATATTTCTTTATAGTTGAACAGATTTTACACAAATGCTGACGCATGCTGTGCAGAATTTATGTAGTAACTACGCACAGGGGAAGGGGATACGTATCTCTGTTTGCTTAATTTTTGATTTATTGCCCTTATGTTCATTTTTAACTTTGAACACTGTGCCGGACATAGCTTTAAAAGTATACGAAAGATATGAAAAGACACTTTGTAGGATTGACATAGGGTCTCAATTGTGTAGATGTTACAGTGGGCAAAAGAGGCGCATAACTCTGGCTTGCCCATTTATTTTGGAGTTTTTGCGCCTTTGTAATATTTCTTTACTTTAGAACTTTGTCCGCGGACATTGCTAATGAAACTATTAGAGGGTATTCAAACAAGAAACTTAGTCGGTAGATAGATCATCATTGAGTAGGTAGCTAATTTGGAATTTTTGCATTTTGAACTTTGTCGGGACGTAATCAAGAACTAATAAAGGTATAGATTGTTCTGTGTTTAAACGTATTCGGGGAGAATCACATAGGTTTGCAAGGGGGGGCGGCTTTGTTTGCATAGATTGATTGTGAGTTTTATGATATTCTACATTTCTTTAACCGTTTGATAACAGATGTCAACGAATGCTCGAGTAACCCGTGTAAAAATAGGTGGTACGTGTAGATCTTGTAAACAAATACGAAATGTACATGTGTTGCTGGGGTATAACGGACTAACTGTGATCATTGGTGGAGGAGGACGCTTTTTGTTTTTAGTGTATATAAATCTTTCTGTTTCTATAAATGACATTTATTACATCATTTTATCAAATAATACTACGTAAAATCGTGTCACTCAAAAAAAGTACATGCAATAGATTGAGGTAATCTATGAGATTTTTGAACCTTTCTATAATTGCCTCATTAGCGTCAAAGGCAGTACATTGTTTTACAATGCCGCAACATTATTGCATGAAGTAGGAGACACAAGTTATCACAGTTTAGAAAATAAGAATCAACCTGCACTTCTTTAAATAGGAATATGCGTATCATTTCACTTTTTTGAAACTATATTAATATTACATTGATACACAGCTTACTCCTTTATCTTAAACAGATATCAACGAATGCTCGAGTAACCCGTGCAAAAATGGTGGTGCGTGTAAAGATCTTGTTAACAAATACGAATGTACATGCGTTGCTGGGTACAACGGCCCTAACTGTGACATTGGTAAGTAAAATTATTTGTAGAGCATATTGAATATAACTTTTTCCGAAGATAAAATATTTCTACATTTCTTACATAAATAACATCAATGTATCTACCCGGTGGCGTACCTTTTAAATGTCTACATAGGATTTCTGATTTTATGTACGTATGTCCTCCTTTTCTTACAAACTTGCTATTGTTTTATGGGGAAATAGATATGCTCATGATATAACATCATAGCATTATCAATATAACATATGATGTTTGTTTGTTACTACAGTTAATATAACAAACATTAACCAGTTCTTCCCCCAGTATGAAACGACTTGTTTTGATAAAAACTGGAGATTTGTTATTATTGTGACATTTTTCTAGACATTACTATATCCTTTATTTTATACAGATATCAACGAATGCTCGAGCAATCCTTGCAAGAATGGTGGAATCTGTAAGGATCTTGTAAACGAATATGAATGTACATGTGTTGCTGGATATGACGGAATGAACTGTGAAAATGGTATGTTGTTAATAAAATAGATCACTCGTAACTTTCTCATCAATTAGAAGTGCAGAACAAAGTAAAATAAATAAGACATGTTTCCTTATCTCAGGCATTCTTAACTATCGTCATCATTCATTTTCGTCAAAGGTAATTTTTTCTTTATAATGTCATAATATTACGGTATGAAACAGAAGACAATATTTTATAACAGTTAACAACAAAAACATAAATCTGCACTTATTTCATTAGGAAATGACGCATTATTTCACATTGATCTTGATGAAACTAGATTAATATCACATTGGTATCTACCCGGTGGCGTGTCTTTTAAATGTCTACATAAGATTTCTGATTTTATGTACGAATGTTTTCCTTTTCTAACAAATTTGCTATTGTTTCATGGGGAAATGGATATACTCATATTACATTATATCATTATCAGTATAACATCTAATGTTTCGTTGTTTCTACAGTTAATGTAACAAACATTAACCTGTTCTTCCCCAAATATGAAACGACCCATTAATTCTTTTATTTCTGATAAAAACTAGAGATTTGTTATTTTTGTGACATTTTTTATACATTACTATATCCTTTATTTTAAACAGATATCAATGAATGCTCGAGCAATCCTTGCAAGAATGGTGGAATATGTAAGGATCTTGTAAACGAATATGAATGTACATGTGTTGCTGGATATGACGGAATGAACTGTGAAAATGGTATGTTAGTATTTAATTTACTTGTCATATTTACCTTTATATTCTTAATAAATTTTATTCTCAAGTAAAGTAAAAACAATCTTGACTATCTTCTCAATGAGTAATATCGTATCAATAGGCAGTAAAAAGTAAGATGAAATCACATTTTTCCACACTCAGCCATTCTTAATTTCAAAATATTGCAAATCATTTGAAACAGATATAAATGAATGCTTGAGTAACCCGTGCAAACATGGTAGTACATGTAAAGATCTTGTAAACAAATACGAATGTACATGCGTTGCTGGGTATAACGGACTTAACTGTAACATTGGTGAGAAAATGCTTTTTTTAATCTGTCTTTATAATTACATAACTAGTATAAAATACCCTTTATCGTGTTATTGGAAATAGTACAGCAAATTGATTGAGGTAATTGAATGGAGACTTCTGATCATTTTTGTTATCCTTAACCTTCTTTGTTATTGTTTCATTAGTTCCCAAAAGGCAAATTTTATTTATAATGTCATAAATTTACGGTATGAAACAGGAGACAATATTATATAAGAGTTAACAAATGAACATAAAACTGCACTTATTTCATTTAGGAAATGACGCATTATTTCACATTTGTCTTGATTGAAACTAGATTAATATCACAGGCTGGTACACAGCTATCTCTTTTATCTTAAACAGATGTAAACGAATGCTCGGTAACCCGTGTAAAAATGGCGCTGGCATGTAAAGATCTCGTAAACAAATACGAATGTACATGTGTTTGCTGGGTATAACGGAACCTAAACTGTGACACTGGTAAGAAAAAATATGTGTTAAGCACATTGAATATAACTCTCCCGAAGATAAATATATCTGCATTTCTTTACATAAATAACATCAAAATGTATCTACCCAGTGGCGGTGTCTTTTTAATGTCTACAGAAGATTTTTTGATTTATGTACGAATGTTTTCCTTTTCTAACAAACTTGCTATTGTTTCATGGGGAAAAGCATATACTCATATTACATTATTATCATTATCAGTATAACATCTAATGTTTCGTTGTTTACTACAGTTAATGTAACAAACATTAACCTGTTCTTCCCCAAATATGAAACGACTCTTTAAATTCTTTTATTTCTGATAAAACTGGAGATTTGTTATTATTGTGACATTTTCTAGGACATATACCTGATAGTCCTTTTTATTTTAAACAGATTTTCAATGAATGCTCGAGAATCCCCTTTCAAAAATTGGGGGAATAAAAGTTAAAAGGGTTTTTTGTTTTAAAACCCAAAAATGAATGTACCATGGTTTCTGGATATGGAAAGGAAAAGAACTGGGGAAAATGGGTTTTGTTTGGGAAATTTTAAAGATCAAAATTTATGCCAGCATAAATGTTGGAAAATTTAAATCCCCTCAAAGCCGGTGCTAGGGGGGGTGAAAGGGGTGTTTTTACTTAATTTTTTATTCTCATGTTCAGAAATTTAATTTAAACCGAGTTTTGGGAATTTTTATTTAATTTGTTGGGGTTTTAAAGCTTTCCGAGGGAAACACTTTTTTTTTCAGAATTTTGTACCCTTTACAAACAGGAAGGGGTTTAAAATGGGTGTGTGGCAGCCCGTAAAAAGGTTTTCCCCGTACTTTCATTTTAGTGTTGTTTAATTTTTTTCCCGGGTCCTTCGGATCATTGATTTTCCCCCAAAACTTTTTAAAATTTTTTGAATTGAGTTTTCCGGTTCAGCCGGGGGGCTAGGGGGGTTTAGGGGGGTTTTTTTACTTTTTCATTATTCTTCATGTACAGACTTTAATAAAACCCAGTCTTCTAATTTTTATTAATTTTTTTTGGGGGAAATTAAAGCTTCCGAGGGGTTTTAATTTTTTTTTTCCAGAATTTTGTACTTCACAAAAAGCAGGTGTCCAAATGCTTTTGTGGCAGCTGTAAAAAAATTTCCCCCGTACTTCACTTCAGTGTTTTTTAAAATTTTTCCCCGGTCCTTGGGATCATTGATTTCCCGCAACTATTAAGTGTTGAAAAATTTGAGTCCGGGCCCAAACCGGTTGCTAGGGGGCGTGAAGGGATTTTTCCTTATTCATTTTTTTCTCTATTTTTACAATTTAATCAAAACCGAAATCTGAAATTCTTTTTGTAATTTTTTTGGGATTAAATTCTTTCCCAGGGGAATTTAATTTGGGTTTTCCCGAATTTTTAAATTTTTTTACAAAATTTTTTTTCTGAAAATAAAAATAAAAAACAATGGGAAAATTTTACAAAACTCCCTTTTTTTTTTAAATTTTTTTTTGCTTTTAATTTTTAAATGAAATACCCATATATCGTCTTATAAAAATTAAATTTGAAAAATTTCAAAACGCAAAATTTTAAAAGTTTATTTTTGTTTTAAAAAAAATAATCAAACTTGAACTATCTTTTCAATGAAATAATATTTTTTTTTCAAAAGGCAGTAAAAAGTAAAAATGAAAAAACCCCATTTTTTTCCCCAAATTTAGCCATTCTTTAAATTTTAAAAAAATTTTCCAAACATTTAAAAAAGATATAAATGAATTTCTTTAGTAACCCCCGTGCCCAAAAAATGGTAAGCACATGTAAAAGACTTGGGAAAAATAAACGAATGTACATGGTTCTGGGGTTTTAACGGGCCCAAATGTTTAAATTTGTGAGAAAAATTTCTTTTTAAATTTTGTCCCTTTTAAAATTTTATTAAAATTAAAAATTAAAAATACCCTTTTAAACGTTTTTTATGGAATTTAAAAGCAAAATTTATTGAGGTAATTTAATGGGGGACTTCCCTCATTTTTTTTATCCTTAACCCTTTTTTTTTGTTATTGTTTTTAAAATTTGCTCCCCAAAGGGAAAAAATTTTTTTTTTAATGTTTATAAATTACGGTATGAAACAGGAAAACAAAATTTTATAAAGAGTTAAAAAAAAATTAACCAAAAAACTGCAAATTATTTTTATTTTGGGAAAAGACGCAATTTAAATTTTACATTTTTTTTTGATCAAATAGAATTTTAAACACACCTTTGGTTTTTTTCAGCTATCCTCTTTTTTTCTTTAAAAAAAAATGTAAAAAGAATTTCTTTGAGTAACCCCTGTAAAAAAAAGGCGCTGATGGGAAAGATCTCGTAAACAAATACGAATGTTTCATTTTTGCTGGGGTATAAAAACCCAACTGTGACCTTGGGGAAAAAAAAAAATTGTGTTAAGCCAAAATTAATATAACTCACCCCCAAGATAAATAATTCTGGGAAATTTTTTTACATAAATAAACCCTCAATGTATCCCACCCGTTTGGGGGTGTCTTTTAAAAGTCACAGAAAGATTTTTTATTTTTATGTACGAATGTTTTCCCCTTTTTTTAACAAACTTTTTATTGTTTTTAAAGGGGAAAAAGGATATCTCATATTAAAATTATTAAACATTAATCAAAATTAACATCTAATGTTTTCGTTGTTTTTTTAACAGTTTTTAAAGTAACCAAAAAATTAACCCCGTTCTTTCCCCCCAAAAAATGAAACGACTCCCTTTAAATTTTTTTTTTCTGATAAAAAACCCGGAGATTTTTTTTATTATTGTGACATTTTTTTTATACATAAATATAACTTTATTTTAAAAAGATATCAATGAAAGCTCGACAATTTTCCTTTTCAAAAACGGTTTGGGAAAATTTTAAAGGGTCTTGTAAAACGAATATGAAAAGTCATGTGTTTTTCTGGTTTTTGAAAGGAAAAAGAATTGTGAAAATGGTAGGGTTTGTATTTTTAAATTTTTTTTGGGCATATTTTTCCTTTAAAATTCCCTTTACAAATTTTATTCTGAAGTAAAGTTTAAAAAAAATGAAATTGTCTTTTTCTCCCTTTTTTTTTAATTTTTTTTTGCTGTCAATATTACTGGGAAAAATTTTATTTTTCGGTTTTTATAAAATTTTTTAGACAAACTTTTTATTGGGAAAACTAAATTTGTTTAAAGTTGTTCAAAGAAAAAAAGATCAATCTTTGGGCTATATTCTCAAAAGAGTTTAAAATCGTAAACAATAGGCAGTAAAATAAAAAGGGGGAAACAAATTTTTTTTTCCCCAAATTTTAAAAAAAATTCAAATTAATTTTTTTTAACCCGAATATAAATGAAAAGCTTTTTAGTAAAAACCCCTGCAAACAAAGGGGAGAAATTTTAAAGATCTTGTAAACAATACGAATTTTCACATGTTTGCTGGTATTAAAAGGAACCCAACTGTGAAAATGGGAAAGAAAAACAATATTTTTTTAAAGGGACATTGAAATTAAAAACCCCTTTTCCCAAGATAAAAATTAATTTGCATTTTTTTACAAAAAATTTAAAATAAATTTTTATTTTACCCGGTGGGGTTGTCTTTTAAAAGTTTATCATAAGATTTCTGAATTTTTTAAGTCGAATGTTTTTCCTTTTCTTTTAAAACAAATTTTCTATTGTTTCATGGGGGAAATAGATATCTCATATTTTTCATTTATTATATTATCAGTTTTAACATCTAATGTTTTTGTTTTAATACAGTTTTAAAGTAACAAACATTTAAAACCCGTTTTCCCCAAATATGAAACGGGCTCATTTAATTTTTTTTTTTCTGAAAAAACTGGAGATTTGTTTTTATTTGTGGCATTTTTCTGGCAATTTACTATATTCTTTATTTTAAACAGATATAATTTAATGCCGGCAATCCCTTGCAAAAAAGGTGGGAAATAAAGTAAGGATTTTTTAAACGAAAAAAATGTTACATGTGTTTGCTGGATATAAAAAGGAAAGAACTGTGAAAAAGGTTTGCATATATTTTTTTTACTTGTCATATTCACCCTTTTATTTTTGACAAAAATTTTATTCTGAAAGTAAATTAAAAACAAAAGGAAAATTGTTTTTTTTTAGTTTTTTAAAATTTTTTTAATTGGTGTTTTTCTGTTTTTTAATTTTTTACCCGAAATTTCTTTTATTTAATCGGTTTTTTAAATTTAAAATTAAAAATTGCCCCCAAATTTTCATTCGGGGAAAAATTTATAGTTTTTTTGTTGTTTTTATTTTAAAAAGTCATTTTCTTGGGGCTATCTTTATTAATGAGTTTTTAAAAATTTTGTATCCAAATTTTGCAAAATAAAAAGGGGATTTTAAATGGGGAAATCAAATTTTTCCCAAAAATTTCAAAAAAATTGCAAATCATTTTTGGAAAAAAAGATATTTAAATTTAAATGTTTGAGTAAACCCGTGAAACATTTTTAAGTAAAAAATTTTTAAAGATTTTTTTATTAAAAAATACGAAAATGGGGAATCGTTGCTGGGGGTATTAAAAGGACCTAAAATTTTTGGTAACTTGGGAGAAAACGCTTTTTTAAAATGTCTTTATAATTAAAATAAAACTCATTACGTTTAGGGAATGATGACCGGCGATCGAGTGTAGTGTTCAGAGGATTCACGTGATCACGAGGCAATCTATTTTTACGTAGTGTCATTTTAACGAATTGTAGTGTGGACAGTGGTGGAGATTATATAGTATTTATACAAATCTACTGGTTTAGTGTTCTCATAACTAAAACATTTTTTTGCTTCTCGTGTTTATGTGTGGTCTTATACATCATAGTCAGGTGACCTATATATTATAGTTTCTAATAATCATATTAGACAATGTAGGTAAAATAAACGCGCTATTTAATTACATGAGATCGACTTATTAGATATATTATAATAGATTTATTATAGGAATATTAGTTATGCTTGACAATTTTCATGAGTGAAACATAAAGCAAACTATCACTCTCTATACGTGACAGCAAAAAGTGTGTTAATTAAGTATATATACAATTTAGTTCTTATGAATACATATAACATAGCTCTATAAACCATCAAAGTAATTTGAATTTTTCACATTTTAATCAGCTATCTCCCTTTATTTTTTAATAGCAGTAAGGATGATATAAGCGAATGTTAGGAACAGCTATTTAGAACTCCGCGCGTCGTCAATAAAATGGTGCGTGGTGTAATTTCAGAGCATTGCTCAACAAGATGATTCTCTTGTATAATATACGTTAGGCGAATCCGTACATGTATTGTGCTCTCCATGGTGATCCTAACCTAAGGAAGTTAACTTCATTGCAAGGATAAGTGATTTGCGTGTGCGATCCATTTAAACTAGAAGACTAGTATAGTGGTTATATGATTTCACATAGATATACACGAGTTTATGTATATCTTTCTATTGTTCGTGGTTTGCGAAACATTTCACATGATATGTATCAAACGAATTCCAACTCTTTTTTAATACAGAGTGGTGATACTATGTCAAACATTTCATATATACAATTACTCATCAATACTCTTGCAATGTCGCTTGTGCTAGTCTTTGATATAACTTTGATCAACACATCATAAGATGGATATAAGAGATAGGAAAAGAAATTAGATAAAGTTTATATGAGAGTTTTAAACCCATGAAGAAATTTTATTGATAATGCATGACATGGTATATAATTGAGTGAATCTAAATTAAATTGACGCTCTAAGATGTGGCTGACTCCTTCAACTTGCTGCGCTGCTTAGACATGCTGCAGAGTTTGACTTGCTGCACTATTGGACATGCTGCAATATTGGCCTTGCTACAATATTGGACAAGCAACGCTCCTTAGACTTGCTGCAGCATAAGGCTTGCTGCAGTATTTGACTTGCTGCACTACTGGACTTGCTGCACTATTGGCCTTGCTGCTGTATTCAACTTGCTGCACTATTGTAATAGCTGAGCTCCTTGGATTTGCTGCAGTATAAGTCTTGCTGCAGTATTGTACTAGCTACGCTTCTTAGACTTGCTGCGATTCCTGGGAAGCGGACAGTTCTAAAACTTGCTACTTATCTGGGAACCGAACAGTTGCTAAGGCTCAACGTTTCACTAGAACGTCATCTTACTTATCAACCGTTGTCTGATGTACTTGTCTTAATGTACGACAATGAACTGTGGTCCTTCTGTATGATGTACTCCTTCCCATACAAGTATTTTTGGAACTTCATTATTCCATATATGATTGCTAAGAACTCTCTTTCTCGAATATAATAACTCCTCTCACGATCAAGTATTTTCTTGCTTGCAAAGGCAATAGGAAACAACTCTGCCTCGTATCTCTAAAATATTGCTGATTCATTTCCAGCATTTGACGCATCACACTGTAAAATGAATTCTTTTGAAAAGCAGTCAAAGATGGCTCATTGGGCTCATGGCGAGTTGCTTTTTAAATGTATTAAAAGCTTTTTCTTGCTCATCTCCCCATCGTATATTGTTCGGTAGGCCTTTCGTCGTTAAGTCTTTAGTTGTGCCGCAATCTCAGCAAACGATATTATAAATCTCCTGTAATACCAGGCAAGTCCTAAGAACGCTCTAACTTGTCTTTTAGTCTTTGGCACTTCTACTTCTTTGATTCTTGTAAGCTTTTACCTTTCCATTTGAACAATGCCATTTCCCACCATATGTCCTGTAAAGCCAATGTTGTTATATTTTATATAACACTTCGATGGTTTTATGGTAAGCTATCTTTATGCCAGTCGTCGGAGGAGCACCCGCAACATTGTCATATGTTCCGTCTAGGTTGTTGTCTGCCCTATCATTTTGTCAACACAGTTGTCAACATAATCACATCCTGACAATACATTCTGCATCATTCTGTTGAATGTAGTCCCAAAGTTAACAATGCCGAAAGGCATTTTCCAAAATTAATAATTCCCTCTATCCGTTGCAAATTCTGTAAATCTGCGACATTTTTCGGCAACTGGGATTTGCCAATAACCATTGCACAAGTCGATCTTGTTAAATAACTTAGCATTTTTCAGCTTTGCCATGATGTAATCTACGCTTGCGAATGGTTTGGTGTCAAATTTGGTGACAGTATTCAGTCTTCTAGAATCAATACAAAACCTATTAATTCCATCTTTTTTCTTGACTATGACTATTGATGCATTGTATTGTGACACAGATAGTTCAATCACATTAGCCTTTAGCATGTCTTGTATTTCGTTTTTTAAATCTTGTCTCTTAGCATGTGGTATAGGATACTGCTTCACTCTTACAGGATTCTTGTCTGTTAATATCACATGGTGCTCTATAAGTGGAGTTGTTCCTGTTCGCTCTCAAAGTGCTTCGCTAAACTGTTAATATTGATAGGTCTTGCTTCCTCTGTTCAGGAGTAAGTCCTTCGCTGATGTTGACATATTGGTATGTCTCTTCACTTGAGTAGTTTGGAAAGTCTTTCCTCATCCAATGCTCCATCAACGTTTCCTAAGATCTGACGTAACCATAATTCATGTGACGTAACATCGCTTTATTAAGAAGTTGGTTTAGGTCCATATCATTTAGACTCGAGGTCAATGTCACTTTATGTTGATCGTCAATTGAAAGACGGGAAAATTGTTTGTCATATTAAATCAAATTATGTCCCAAATAGTTTGTATTATTTTTTAATATGTCTGAATGGTACAGAAATGAATTTCTTTAATTCATGATATTGGTTCATAGCAACTAAGGATTTTTTATTACATTACCTCATCACAGCAGGTGACGATCATTTTACTTTTGACCTGTTTTAACTAAGTGATGTATTTCCCATGCGTTATATTTGGAATAATTCGTCCAAAGTATCACTGATTTCAATATGAAATTACAAAAATGTACAAAGGTAGCAAAGGTATAGAGACTGGGCGGACCGATGCTAGAATGCTCACGGAGACTGAAATTACTGTTTGATTGTATGATCAAAATAAAATTATTTATTTGGTAAATTTTCAATTGTTGTGATCGTGCAAAAGAAAGCCCTAGATAGGCGAACAGAGAGCTCAGTTTGTTTGTTTTTTCCTGTTTTCGGCATTTGTATTCCATTCGAAAGCTTGTAAATGAGTAAAAATTTCAATGTCCTCCTGAATAAGACAAAAAAGGAATGTTAAAATAGTATGATTACACTTATTACACGTCTGTTTGTTTTACACTTTGATATCTGATTAATATCTGGAAAGCATTAAAAACAGAAAAATTACTGGAAAATTGCAGACTCGGTTTGAGTCTGCACATGACGGATATTGAAAAGTTCAACATCCCTCAATTTCCCTAGCACCGGAGTACTCACCAGCTTGAGCGTTTCTCAATTTTCAACACTTAAAAGTGATAGAATCAATGATCCCGAAGGACAAGAAAAATATAAAAAGTCATATTTTTAATGATATCGTGTAACTCTAAATAATGTGCCAAATTATGACAAAAGTAGTAACTGTGCCTGCAAAATATTTGAAAACAAAACTGAGAAAATCTTGCTAAAAATATAGGATACTAATACACTTAAGTTATTCAACTCTTAGTGATCTGTAAAGTTGTTGTTATAATATAAACATTCATATCACAACTTTTAAAAAATAGCTATTGAACACTACGTGTGATGTTCCATTAGAAATCACTATTGGATCCAATATTATCAAATAAGCCTCGTTTTCATTTCAACAATAAAAACTAACGATATCAAATGCATATCTTACTCAAAGTAGACTCGGTTCAAAACTCGTAAGTTACAAAATTACAAACTGCCAAATGATAATGTGAAATAATGGGGTCATTATACTTTGTTGATAACAATATTGATTCTTTTGGACGCGTTTCTATATCAAACTCGACTGTGAATTGTTTTCAGTGGAATTTAGTACTGTACTGAACAAAGTATAATAGCCTCATAATCGAAGTTAAAAGTATTATTCTATCGTCGTCCCTTTGCAAAACATAAATCAAAATGTTTTATGTACATTTCTATATTACGACATAAACCCTCTCATTCAGATATTAATGAATGCTCGAGCAACCCCTGTAAAAATGGTGGAACATGTAAGGATCTTGTTAATAGATACGAATGTACATGTGTTGCTGGATTTGATGGCATAAACTGCAAAAATAGTAAGACTTCTTATTTTGATACACGATCAGAATATTGTGAACATTCGTAGAAAATGTCATATGTTTTTGTTTTGAATCTCTATATCTAATTTTCTACAACAAAAATATTAATTTAAAGTTAAATAAATATCTATTGGGAAAAAAACGTTAAAAAATAGGCAGATGTGCAAAACAGTAAAGTCCATTTAAAATCTTGTAGCCCTAATTTTACTAAACTGTATTCCTTAACAGATATAAATGAGTGTTCACCTGACCCATGTAAAAATGGTGGTACCTGTAAGGATCTTGTCAATGAATATAAATGTACATGTGTTGCTGGATATGACGGAAAGAATTGTGATATTAGTAAGTTTGCCCGTAATTAAAAAAAGAATATACGATAAGTTTAATTGTAATAATCGTCATATTCTTATTCGGATATTTAATGTAACACATGATTGAAAAAAAATGGATAAGTTAATATTTTGATACATGTATATATTATACGAATGAGTTCCCTGATTAGATTAGGGATTGTATTGAATTCATAGTTAAGCACAACCAACCAATCTTGCTAAATATGACTAGATATTTCCATCTACTAAATCCTAAAGATGCACCTTTTTAAATGTTTATATAAGTATGAGTAAGATTTATTTTACCATTTTATTTTGTATTAAAAATAATCAAACTATGATATTTTAAGATGTAAATGATTGTTCACCAAACCCCTGTAAGAATGGTGCTACGTGTCAGGATCTTGTCAATGGCTATAAATGTACATGTGTTGCTGGATATGACGGGACCGACTGTGAAAATGGTGAGACAGTTTTTTAATTTATTTAATCAGAACAACATATTTTTTGTAATGTAATTGTAAAAGTTTTTCCTTTCTTATGTTTACTTTTTACCATGTAATTTACTAACGTAACAGTCGTCTATGACTATGGCTGGTTTTTTTTCTTTGGGCACAAATTCCATAAGTAATTCAAATATTGATGAAACATATATAATGTATCAATTGTGTATACGTGTATTCTTATAAAATTATTCTTGGTTGAAAATGTGTATAGTGTTCTACGTTATTTAGTATGAATATTGATAAAATGAATAATAATACTTTGTTCTCGAACAATTAATTGTCTTCTTTATATAGTTATTTAATATCGGATATGTATCTCACAATATGCATCATTATCTATATATTGTTTTCTCCTGGTGTTTTGCAAATGATACTAAATACCATTACGATAATTATTTATTTCATTACAGATCTCCAATAACGTACCAATTTCACTTTCAGATGTGTTTCTTTTATTTTTTCTATATAATTTAAAGAAACGTATTTGAGGAGTTTAATTAAAGGATATTCTGTTTTCTGAACATATTCTATAAGTAACTATTTATACACAGATATAAATGATTGTTCCCCAAATCCATGATAGAATAGTAGTGTAAGAATATCTTTCATAATGGACCAATTTTCAGATTTTTGTTTTCTCTCTCTTTTTTTCAATATAATTTTAAGAAGTATGTGTTAGTATTTACAATAAAGGTTTTCCATTTGTTTTACCATATTTTATAATTCATTATCTATATATATACAGATATAAATGATTGCTCCCCAAATCCATGTAAGCATAGTGGAACATGTAAGGATCTTGTTAATGGATACGAATGTACATGTGCTTCTGGATATGATGGAACAAATTGTGACAATGGTAAAGAAAATCTGTATTATTTCATAAACAAAGATTTTTCAATAGTATTCATCAAATGTGTACATATAAACTCGCTTGAACCTTATTTTCAAAATATTTAAATACTTCTTAGTTTCAGACAAGCAAACACAATATTATATCAATTTATCTCATTTGTTTATTTATTGTTATATTATCTGTCCAATTCTGAATTTATTTTTAGTGCACCTATTCATGTAATGATTTAAATGATCTAATTTATCGTTTGGAATAAATAATTTTACGCTCAGATATAAATGATTGTTCACCAAACCCATGCCAGAATGGCGGATTATGTAAAGATCTCATCAATGGCTATGAATGTGAATGTGTTACTGGTTATAATGGACCTAATTGTGAAACTGGTAAAAATGGATTAAGTTATAAAATATCATTCATTCATTGGTATTGGGCGTAGAAATTTTATATTAAGATATTAAAAATATCTTGAAATATCTTAACATATGCAAGATTTTAAAGATATATAATATTGCTTAATTTTTTAGTTGATACATTCCATTTAATAAAAGTATTTATCACATACCCGTGCTGCTATTGCATCTCCGTAAAAAACGGTTTTGCACGGTTGTGCATATATTTTGACATGACGTCATTTACGTTGTACAACTATAGCATAAAGACTGGCTAATATTAAAGTTACACTTTAAGCGCGTCAATGAAACAAAAGATACCTTTATACTGTAAACGGTTCTTATTTCGATATGTGATAAATAGAATATTATATTCGTGGAGCTAGATTTATTGAACTTGTTGGGTAAAATAATATTGGTCTCAGCAGACACACGCATGTATATAATATCCTCTGCATCCCTGTGTTAACTTCGAAGTAAATATACTAAAGTTCGATGAATATATAGTTAAGTTCATAATAGATTTTGTTATTATGCACTTTTATTGTTTAGAAATCAAGACAACAACCAAATCACCTAATCAAAAATTGGCACGAGCTTCTGTCACCATGATATTTCCAGTCCAGTCAAATTTCAATGTTACAGATCCAAAATTAAAAGATGATGTAAAAAATCAGGTAATTATATTTAAAATTCATATTTTGCAATTATTTATAATTAGAGTATATTTCAACATCACTAAAACATTTTTATACAATACTTTTAATTAATTTTTTTTGCCTCTTAACACAAGACCCTTACTTTCTTATTCCCTTGCTTTTACAAACATTAATGTGTTCAGGTATTTATCATTTCATAACCTTAAGTTATATATGTGGTGGTTGCAGTTAGGGATTTAACATAATGTTGAACTCAGAGAATATATTTAAATACTGGCCATTCTTTGACGTTAACCAGTTTGAATTGCATTTCCTTTTCTTTGTATTGCTTAATTTGTATAGGCATTCTTTGAACATTCATTGAACTAACATAATAATCATTTGGTGTAGTGTTTGTTGAATGTCACATCTAACTCTGGTGTTATATATTGTTCTCGTGTCAATACATTTTGTTTTACTTCTAAATATTTTTATGTAGAGTACATGTACTGGAATGGTTTTCATTATTTTTATTATTTTTATTGTATACATGTTTTTTTATCTTTTACTATTTGTTGTTTTTGTACACTATTACGTTTTTTATAAATCATTGATTTGTTTGTTTCAGCTGACGACAATATACAGGGATAATATGGGAGAAACATTGAAAGATTTAGTAATAAAAAGCATAAGGTATTTTTTACAATATAATGACATGTTTCCGTCAATTCTTTACTGGTAATTCTTGTTTTTATTGTGCTAAGGCGTTGTCCGTCCGTCTGTCCGTCCATAGATATGACAACTCTTTAAGGATTTCAATGATTGTGTTTATACTTGGCATATAAGTATGTTATATCAAAATAAGTTAATTTTGATTTTGGCAGCAATCAACTTATTATTGGTTATAGAGTTTTGTCCCTTTTTAAGCAAATATTCAGCAAATTATAGTTTTCCGCAGGAATGTGTTTAAATTTAGCATATAAGTATATTATATCAAAACACAGGTTTTGAATTTGATAAAGAGTATATTAAATGAGTGTAGATCTTCTAAATGTATTTAACGAGTTGAGTAAAATCATATTATGCGAGCCTCTGACGAGCATGATAGTGTTTTAGTCAACGAGTTCAATAAATTTAGTATTAAATATACACGAATATAATTAAGAAATAATATATCCCAAACGGTGATTTTATCGCTTGGAGTTCGGATGCGAGGAATTATATCAAGAGGGCGAAGCCCGAGTGATATCATGATGCGCATCCGAACGACAGATAGTGATGTTATCAAGCGATAAAATCACCGATTTGGATTTATTATTTCGATTCTAACACGACATCAAAAGATAAATGCTGCCGTAACTGATATTAAGCTAAATTGTTCCTGACTTGTTTCCGTACTTATTTTCAGCGCGTCGCATTTTTTTAGTGATTACGTCACATGTATAATGATTACGTCACATGTCTAAATATAGAACGTCAACAGTGACTTTGTTGCATAATTACACACACTTTCGGTTCTTCCATGTTCAATAGGGAAAAGTGCAGGTCGTGTTAGATATTCTAATTATCACATATATAAAATAAGAACGATAAAATGTAAAAAAGAGTCATTTTTCATTGACGCGCTTGTAGTGTAATACTTACATTAGCTTTAGCGCAATTTGCGCAAATAACGTCATATAGTGCAATATTGTTTTTATTAAATCTCATTATTACACTCATGTGCCACGGTTTATCGGATAAATTTGCTGCAATAAAAATGTTTTAAAAGAGTAATCCCCTTTATGTACATTTTTTTCTCAAAATTATTGGTTTCAGTGGAATAACTTTTGAAGAATATCAATGACTGTGTTTGGCATGTGTTGTATGCCATGTTATGTTATGATTTTGATTTTCTCTGCAATTAATTCATTATAGGCAATGTTTTGCCAATTTTTATGCAAACAAGTAACATAAATTATCGTCTCTTTGCTTATATTTCACATATGACGGAAAAATCATCGTTTGTGCTACTTACAACAATACATTTGCTATCTATCTTAAAGGCATATTTTGTCCGTGAAACCTTCTTTACAAATTGACATCAAGCGTATATTGTCCCGCTTTAGCGGATCTCTTGTTCTATAATGAAATCAGGTGAAGGAGTTTTCGGATTAAATTTATCCGGAAACACCCTGCGATACCTGATATCTGAATGAATAAATTATAGTTCTACTGTATAAGTATATCAAATTACTGTTTATTTCTCAGTAAAGGAAGTTTGGTGGTTGATTTTGAGTTGATTTATGCCAACGATACATCAGCTGCTTCAACTAAGATAACCGAGGTCAATATTGCTCTGCTAAGTGGGGGAGAAATCATAAAAGTATTAAATGAAACTGTTTCTGCAACGTCCTTAAAACTTAATGATGTAACAGGTAAGTGTTTTCATAGTGTTTATCCTTATTTGCTCTTTACCAGCGTCTGTTAAATATCATCGAAGATTCTAAGAATCACAAGTATTTACTGACTCCAAACTTTCATTTTAGCTTTTCGCACTCGTACTTCAAACAATATAGTTATCTAGTTAAAGTTAAAAAACACATAGCATAAATATTACTTATTCTTACATGTCATTTTGCCTTAAAAACATATTTTTATATGATTATTTTCATTTAATTTTATAACCTATACAAGTATAAGTTACTCTATTAATTGTAAATTTTCTTTCAGTAACAAACATTTCATTATCAGATGATAAATATATATGTAAAATGTTTGAAGCCCTTAGTGGAATGTGCCCTTCAAATCAACATTGTTCTATAGTGGACAGACAACCATCTTGTGTGTAAGTATAGATTTCTTGATATAGCTTAGGTTATTGTTCCTTTTATTGTAATAATGATAAGATTTTAAATTTTAAACAGGATTTCCTAGCTAATTCATGGGTTTATTATATGTTTAATCACGGCCCATTATGCTGCAGAAATGATTTTTTTTATATTTTTTTAAAACCTTTTATTTTTTGTCAGGTTAAAGTTTCCAGAAAATTACTAAATGTCTATTTTTTTTCTAACTTTTTTCTGATCTTTTGCTTCTGTTGCCTTTAGATGATTAGTACAATTTTAGTTATTTAGGACAAGCATTTTGTATGGAAGCCAGAATACTACTTTGTATACAGTTTGCTACTTTTGTGACAAATAATTTTACATTTAGCGTTCCTTTCTTCATGTGAAAAACTGCTCAAATAATTTTTAAAAGTAATAAAACTCATATTTGCCCTTTCTAAAAAGGAAAAATAAATATTTGTATCTGAGGAATAATGTGCTATTAAGTTATTAATTTGCTTATTATATACAAATTAGTTATCATTTAGTGATTAACCTGTTCGTGCTCTGTCTTGTCCTGTCCTGTTTTTGTTTGGGGTCCACCTGGGCTCCTTGCCGCTGGTTCTTGTTGCTGGGTCATATGGGGGTTGCGTTCATTAAACGCCGCCTTTCCTTGTTGATCTTGTTTATCATATTTTATTACTCAACAATTCGCTGAAAGATGAGACAAAATATGAAGTGTGTCATGTCTGCACAGCATCATTACGTATTTGAACGTTGACAATTTGAACTATACTGGTTGTGTTTATTATTTCAGGTTGAATGAAGCAGAAGAAAGCAGTAAGTTATGAATTATATTACTAATCTTTACAAAAAGGACTGAAATTGTATGTTAAAAAAGTAATAACAACATAAAAATAGTTATATTTATGATAATGATGTAAAACCAAGGTAACTGTTTGGTATATATAAGACAGGTTTTATTGTTCGATAGGTCTAAGTTAGAAAGATTTTGTTAAATAGGTCTACGAAAATTATCTTATTGTTTGATAGATCTAAGACAGACCTAAGGAAAAATACAACAATTTTTGTATTTCTTGATATATCTAAAGATCTGAGAAAGGATATAAGAATTATTGTACTGTCTCGATAGGTCTAAAACAATTGCAAGACTTAGTTTTTATTGGATTGGTCTTAAAAAGTTCACATGATTTAGTTTATTGTTCAATATGTATAAGAAAATTTATAATAATTATTTTATTGTTAACAAGGTCGTCTATGAGAGCTTATAAAATGATTTTTTTGTTCGAAAGGTCTAAGAATAATTTTATTGTTTAATATTAGACAAAACAATACACCTCTTTTACATCGTACAAAAGCATAGACCAACTTAGGTCCTCAAACACAGTGAATTCTGAATCATTTCATATGTTGTGTTGTTATTTTGTTAATTTCCAGCTGACTTGATGCTTGTGATTGTTGTTGTTGTTTGTGCAATAGCTGCCCCAATCATCATTTTACTTGTTATCTGCCTGACAATTCGTAAGTTACGAAACAGTAACAAGTTGAAGCATAACAACCGCACAGATAAAAGTCATCCAGGGTAAGTCATATTTTCATTATTACAAAGCACAATTATCACCGAAACATGAATTAAATTCCAGAAATATCGGTAAGAGAATCTAAGGTTTGCT